GCATTTGCATAAACTGGGCACCGCCATTTTTAAATCCTTGCTCGTTCGAACCCCGTGCCGCGCGGCTACACGTGGCACGAGCTAGGTAGTTCGGACTAGGGTGCCTATTCCGAACTACTGGTACACCTCGTTTCACGAGGAGTAACGGTAGTTCGGAATAGGAACCTAGTCCGAACTACCTAGTTCGAGCCCCGTGTAGCCGCGCTGCACGGGGTTCGAAGCAGCGGGGATTTAAAAATGGCGGCTCCCCGCTTATGCTAACGAAGCCCGGGAAATTCAAATCCCGGGCTTCATTAGCAAGTGCGGTATGCATACATTACCCTCCTAGTTCGAACTAGCGGGGTAGTGTAGACATACCCATGGAGTTTAGTCAAATTTAATGAGTGCATGCTTTAACAAATACCATCAGCATGGAAGCATATCCTCTGGAATAATGGCTGAAGCGTGAAGGGGCATATGATCATTTAGCATTTCTGATGCATAAATACCTTGCAAGGTTGGCTACAAAAGTGCCATGCAAACACCTGCTCTCACTTTCAAGTGATACTGTAAATAAAAGGCAGGCAGAATTATCTCCCATAAATGTAAACTAACGTGTTTGTTTTAGCAAGAAGCTGAAGCAGCAAGACCAAGTAAACTTAATAAGTTCTAAAGTTTTACATTGTTGTTTTTGAGTGCAGCTCTGGAACAAAAAAATGTCTACATTTGTAAGTTGCATTTTCAGGATAAAGAGTTTGTACTAAAGTATTTGTATGAGGTGAACTGAAAAATGCCATTTTAAAATCATTTTTACAATGCAAATGTTGTATTCTGTGTTGTAATAGAAATACATATATTTGAAAATGTAGAAAAACCATCCAAAATATTTAATACATTTCAACTAACATTCTATTGTTTACCAATGTGATTAATTGAGATTAATTTTTTGAATTAATCACATACGTTAACTGTGATTATTAGAAACTTACAAGGACGAGGGAAGGCTACGGAGTATATTGCACCGAACTCTGTAAATTGCTTCCCTTAAGAGAAAGGTTTAATACGAAGTCAGTGCATTTTACACAGAAGGAACACAAGCCAAAGTCACCTAATGCTCCTCTGAGCCAAATGGATCACTCCTAACCAGCACCAAGCATAGCAGGTAGTGCCCATGCTGGCGAGCAGGCAAGGGTCTGAGCTGTGGAAAGACGCAGCATTGTTTTCGAAATGTACTGCCTAGGTCTAGGAGGTCTCTGCCATCCTGCCACAAGGGACAGATCTGGAGGCCTACACTGCTACCAACTCCAGTCAGTTTGTCCATGTTAAAGACTCCAGTGTTTCTCTAGTCTAACCACCACAGCAACACAAGTAGTAACTCAAGTCACAGCCATCAAGGAGCAAGCACTTACTGGGTTAGCAGGATTCTGCTGCAGGTCTGTGGTCCAGATTTCCGGGAGTGACCTCTCGATCACCTGTAAAATTTCTTCCAGGGCCTGCTGCAGCTGCCGGGCCTGCTCATCATAGCCAAATAGCACAAGCTCCTTTAACAAGCTGTGTACTTCACCTGCAGGGAAGAGATCAGAGCCAGCCCCCCATCACAGTCATCAGCCAGGTTCACTAAGCAAGAGCTGCTGTTCTAGCCCTGGGGACAGGGGTAGAGGAGCAGCTGGACACAGCTCCTGCTCTCGGCCCTGGTACCAAGAGGACTTAGCACGAGGGGAGCAGCCTAGTCCGTCTCACCCAGATGCTATACGCCTGGGGGCTGGGAGTATTTTCATTCCTCTGAGCCGTGACAGCTGCAGAGGGTTGGACTAGCCAAGACAACCAGGAGTCCTGATTCTGGCTCCTGGCCAAGGAAGCACCTTTCCTGGTGACCCTGGGGAAGTGGCTGCTCTCTTCAGCAACCCCCCTCCTCCCACCACACACTCCCAAGGCTTCAGCCGGAGCTACTCTTTTCAGCCCATCCTCAGACTGCTGCACAGACCAGATACTGGCTTGACTCGGCCAGGGGCCTTACCCTTCATGGTCTCAGTAGTGCGAATATTTTCTGCCAAGGCCTCCAGAAGGGCCACATCCTCCAGGGGGCTCCCCTCCTTCAGACTGTGCCGCTTGCGCTCGGCCTTGCGACGGTTCTTGGAGGATCGGCTACAGGGAGGGACGTCCAGTAGCACCATGGCCAACAGAGCAGGACAAAGCAGCCAGAGGAAGCCAGAACCCCCATCGCCCCACCTCCCCCAATGAAACCCGCAAGCCAGTGCATCTTACTGCAGTCCACACGCCCCTTGCTAAGACACGCAAGATCCAAGTGGGCTGCCAGCCAAGGCACAGGCGGAGGGCCAGCTTCCCACCTGCACCCACTGCTGCGGAGCGTGGCTGCCCAGGAGCTAGTCCTGGGGATGGGCGCTCCCTAAACCAGCCTTGCAGCTTCTGTGCAGCTTGCAGCCCTAGAATGGCACTAATCGGCTGGGCAAACTGCAGGGCCAGCTTTGCCTGCAGCATGTTCCTCCTTTTCACAAGTTATCAAACAGCTGGTGCACCCACAGCCCCAGAGTAGCGAGTCCTCCAGCGCGGATGGAGTCAGAGCTGTGCACTCCACCTCTCACCCCCACTAACACCCCTGAAGAGTTACAAGACAGGGACATACGCAGATATCCTGGAGTTACTGTGTGAGTATTTGCTACTCGTGTCACTGGCCATCACAGTACTGCCGCTTTCGGAAAGAAGGTCTGCTTCCGCACCGTCGGGCGGCTCATCGTCTGCAAAACACACCAGCCACCAGTTAGACCTTCCCCCACCCCAGTGAAGATGTAGGTTATTCCCAAGTATCAGAGGAAAACATTCCAGCACAGTTACACAGGGCAGGTGACGCCAGTGGGGACTGTCCCAGGACATCCTAGCTCAGAGCAGGGTCTGTCTGGAGAAGTGTAAATGCCAGGGGAATGAGGAGAACAGGACCCTCCCCCACTGAGCTCCTCTTTACCTCCACAAGTTCAT